AATTTAATTTATACAACAAATTTTGAAAAAGAAACGTTCTTTAATTTTCCATACTTTGCTTTCAATAATAATACGATAAATAATCCAATGAATACAAAATATTCAAACTGTGTGTTGAAATTTCTATCTATCAAAATAGTAAACTACAGTCGATTTTTAATTAACACTCAATCACTTAATATCAGAAAAGGCAAATGTGAAAAATCAAATATAGTAAGTAATATTTTGTAAACAGATTCTTTGAATAAACTTTTTCTATCGCTTTGAACACACACACGTACACACACACATACGCACATACACACACACACACACACACACGTACGGCAACTTTGAATTTTCAAAATGAATGTGATAATATTCGATAAATGAAGTGATGAAAAGTGGGCTGCTCTTACAGCTTAATTGTATGATAGCATAAACAAGATATGCAAAATGATAAATTAGCTTTTTTACCAAAGATGGTAATTTTTTGTATGCTTGTTATGTTATTAAGTGAAAGAATGAAGAAAAAAGTGAGCATAGGGAGTGAAAGAGTGAGAGAGGCAGAGAGTGAGAGAGTGTGGGATTTTTTAGAAAAAGTAGCAGCTATTGCATTGATTGAAAGAAATTGCGTGAGAACAGAAATTCGCGGGAAAAAACAAAATGAAAAAATGAAAAATGTATGCATTTGAGAGGGAATAGGTGAGAGAATGATTGAAGAACAGTTTTTTTACTGAAAGTTAACACATCAAGAAAGAGTTAGAGGTAGTACAAAGAGAAGAGAAGTAGAAAGAGGAAGAAAAGGAAAGTGAATGTGAATAACAAATCTTTTCTGTAAACGTCAGAGAAGAGGAAAAAATTCAAAATTTTGTTTCAATCCACGTAGTAAGTGTATTTTTGATTGCGAAAGAATAACACTGCTAATGTAACTCTTCTCTCTCTCAGTCTTTGTCACTATAGCTTTTTCAAAATATCTTACTGAATGTTTTTTTTTCTTCAAATCTATATCTCTTAGATGGAGAGAGAGAAGGAGGAAAAAAATCTGTCAAATTCTGACGTGTTTTGCTTGCTGAAATTTCACTCGTACGTCTTGTTGCAGTTTTTGACTTGCAATTAATTTTTTTTAAATTCAATCTTCCAAAATATTATTTCTGTCTCTTCTTTTTTTTTCACGTAAAAAATAATTTGGTTAGTTTTTTTCTTTTTTTTTTTTACACAATTTTTAAATATTAACGTTTCACAAACTATTCTGTTATGTCTTTAAGTAAATAAAATTATGCAATTTGTGGTGTCTACAAATGATTACGACAAAGTGAGATGAATATTTCAAAAACAAAGAGCAGTTAAATTAGCTTAATCAGAAAATATGCTTTTCAAATGAGTTGATCATCTATAAAAGGCTAAACATTATCATATGGTTGGTTAGCAATTTGAACGATGCACTGATGAGATCATTGCATTAATGCGATAATTTTATTGTTCACAAAGAGTATCCCATCAAAATATTTGTACGATTCATACAATTAAATGAGAATTACCGCATCGATCATTCATAATTCTGAATCTTATTTAAGACATTTCATCCTCAAATATTGCAAAGAATAGAAGAACAAATGAACATCACTTATTTACAACTATTTTTCAATTACAATCATTTACAACATTTGAATAAAAGAATATTTGCAAGTATGAGAGAATAAGCTCTGAATAAAAATATTATAGTCAAATGAAACAGTAAAAATTTGCATACACAAACGTATGCGTGTCTCGACCTCATTCGTTTCTCTTGCATTAAAGGAATAGAGAAGTAATTTACAATAATGTTGTCTGTTCACTTTCTTATTTGACTTCTTGGCTGAAGCTTTTCTTCCATTTATATTTACATCGTGATTTTTTCAGTTGATTTCGTGTTAATACTTCAATTATTTTCCCCCTCATTAAAAAATCCCGCTGCTCTCCCGAGATATCTCATTGCTTTTTAGACTTTTATTTTTTATCTCTTCTATAAAGCTTGCATCATTTCTTGCACTCATTTAACGCAAACCTTTTTCTCTTACGTGCTGCTTGCTATTATTGCTATTTAGGTACAAATTTTTATCGCTTATATTTATCGCAGTTTTTGCTATCACTGCTAAATTTCACTGGTATTTTTGATCATCTACCAGATTATATTCTGCGTCTTTCCTTCCTTCTCAGTTCTTTTTTCGCGTACTTTTGCATTGCATACGTTAATGCTGTCTACTATCTACTGTCTACCATAAGCAGTAAACAACAATTTCCGCTCTTCAATTTAATCCTCTTTTTTTTACATCAGGAACATCCTTTTGTCAACAGTTCATGATTACTCAGATGCAATGTACAAAAGTTAATTTTTATGTTAATTTAATAAAAAACAGTTCTCGTAATCTATTAATTTTACACACGTATAGAGTAATGTAGTAATTTATGCAAAATAATTTGTACTTTGACATTGTCAAGTGAGCTATAATTTGATTGTATCTAATTGACTTTTCTTTATCTTATTATTTATTGCTGCTTCATTTCTGAAGCTAAAAAAGAATTTGTAGAAAATTAAAAGCTTTTTGACATAAATGTCTACAACATTTTCAATAATATTAAATGTTTTATAGGTAGAAAGAGTAGAAAAAATTTCGAAATGAGCAAACGTCGCAGGTCAGCCCCGGAACATTCGCAAACTAAGGTCATTATTTTATCAAGAATTTGATAAGTGCGGCAAATGTGATTTGATGCGCGCTGATCTTGAAGATTACAAGTACTTATTACTGATGCTTGCATGAAGTGTATAAAGTGTTATAGGATGACAAAAGCAACACTAATGCTGATTGCAGTCAAAGTACTCAAAATTTACCTATTTCTACTGCTACCCCACAAAGCACTGGTCAGCCACATGCATGTGAGAATGATCAAAAAGTAATTGCAAGCGCAATAATACCGACAGATAATACATCAGTGATCTCTGCAAAATCGTGCTCGGGTAATGCATATGATAAATATTCTTAAATATTTCATATCTTCTATCATTGCTAAAAAATTATATGTATAATTTTTGTACAAATTTTATTTTTTTCAGTAACAAAATTTTTTAATTTTCATTCAAACATTATAAAATTTAAGTATTTAGATGTGCCACAACCAATGCTATCATCAGCTGATATTTCAAATGCGAAGACACTTAAAAAAAGGAATACGACAGCAAATTTGTTGGAAGAAATTGAACTACATAAATTCAGGTTTTATTAGTATTGAATTATCCTTTTTAAAATATGTCACTGAATATTATTTATTACACACACTATTTATTGACTCTTATTACTAAACACTGTTTAGAACCTTGTTTTTTGAAGCTTTGCTATAAACAATAGGAAAGAATTGAATGACGAGGAGAAGCGCTCAATTTTAGCTGATTTTGATGCAGGAATGTTACCCCATGAGATCGAAGAAAAGTATGGAGTAAGTAATGTCATAATATTAAAAGAAATAAAATCATTTAAAAAGTTTATAGTTTGAAATTATGTCTTCGAAATATACTTTTTGGAGTTTTCCTTCAACCGCAAACAACTTTCCATTATAAGTGAAAGATTTGGCGTGATTCAAATAGGCATTCATTTTTTTGCATGTAGAATGCTTTTCGTTTTTTTGTAGATCACCGATATTTTGCCGCATTCTGCTTCCATATCTCGGACCAGCTGGTCTGATTTATTTGCCTTCAAAAAACGTCGTACTGTTTATGTGAGTCTAAACAAGCAAATGTGGGATTATTTTTGTCAGTGTCGTAAGCAAAAAATCTGGCTTAATGGTCGACAGTTAAAAGAGCAAGCTTTGAAAATCGCTCATGAATTAGGTTAGGATGTAATCTTGTTTTGTTTATTGTGGTTTTTTAGTTTGAATTATGCAATAAATCAAATTCAGAAAAGAAATATTATAGTTATTTTAAATACTGAAATGAAACTTCTAGAAAGGTGAAAGTATTATTAGAATCAATGCTAAATTTTTATTTGAAAAGCAATTAATTTAAACTTAGATAAGTCATACATGTGCTACTTCATTTAATTGCAATATATAGAAGTTAAAATATCTATTTTTTGCTATAAAGTCTTATTTTCTGTTCGAAAAAATATTAAATGCTTAATTACTTCAAGGTTTATGTAACTTCAAAGCTTCTGAAGGTTGGTTAGATTCTTTCAAAAGACGCCATTGCATTGATCTCAAAGCTATGACCGGAAAACCGGTTGTATATGAGACAGATTTTGAAGAAGCAATCTCCTTAGGTGGTGCTATGATTTTATTTTTTTGTTAAAAAAATATTACTCATTTTTTATGAACTCAATTTTTTGTTGTAATTTTTCATTTCTTTTCACTGAATGCTTAACAAGCCGAATTTTTTTTAGTTACTTTGACTATCAGTAATATTTAAAATTACTGTATAAGTTCGGTCTCTTCAAGTTTTATGTACTAATTTAACTTCAGAATTAACAGTTATTAAATAAATAATTTTTCAGCTCGGTCTACATCATCTGGCCAGAGCACCAATTCCATTTCTTTAGTATCAGATACAAAAAAATTCGTCATGAATGTTGGTGTTTCATCTTCACCTGCAAACAATGAATTGAATCTGTGTGAGATTCTTATTCACTTCTTTAAAATTAGACTGTCGACTTTATCTATGTTGAATTTAATCGAGTAGTAATCATGATTGTAGTACACAGTAGAGAGAAAGCATTCGGTTTTTAAAAATCCACTGCATTTTTCACTTGCATAATTCATCATTTAGCAGTGCCAAATAAGAACCATGCAGCAGTAGCATTTCGTACGACCAATCCACTGGATTTCCAACAACTGCTGTCGGCCGGATTTCGTATAGATAGTTTGTATTATTGCACATCGTTATTTTGAATATAATTTTAGAAAATAAATCTTATTTATCATTTTTATTCCATTTAGTTTCTTAAAAGCATATTAATCACTTGGGACAACTTCAGGTTTGTAATTCATTGAAAAATCGTTAACGGATAATAAAAATAATGAATTTCGTTTGTTTTGCAAGCAACACTTGATGTAATATTATTGGATTTATTGCAGATACAAATGTATCAACTCCGGGAGTAGAAAAGTCTGAGATGAGCGCTAAAACTGTTCAAGCACTTATAGAAACTTGTTGTCATCGTGTAGATGAAATTGAGGTATTGTCAATCGAAAGTTGTATAATGTTGATATTTATGGTGCAAGTGTAAACCTAAGTATAACCCAATCATTTAGGTTATACTTGCACCATAAATATCGACATTCTAACAATGCAAATTATTGTTTTTAAATCCAGTTAACAAAGTTTAGGTTTGTTTTCGTACTTAAAATATCAACTCAGAGTTACAAAAATGTGCAAATAAATAACGGCATAAATGTTCAAGTCATATTGAACATTACTGTACCTCTTCATTTGTTTTGTTGGAGTTTTTTGATTTTTTAAAATTATTCACTTTTTTAAAATATGGTAATTGTTGAAGAAAGTTGAAAATTTTAGGTAGCGCAAGCAGTGGATACCTTACGTGCCTACATTGTTACGAATAATATAAGCTTGCTACCTCTGCTAGTTGAACTGCAAAAGAATTTGGCTGCCATAGCTTCGCGTCACAAAACAAATGAGCCAACTAACATGAAATAAGGTGACTCATGTTAACATGTGTACAATAATTTTATGTATTAGTGAGCTTATACTTGTTCATAAATAAAAAGCTCTCATTATTTCTAATAGTCTTATTACATTAACTTGTTTTTCAGTTCTTGCTTAATTAACACTGCTTTGATACAAGATTCGAGAAATGTGAAGTAAAGGCATGAAAAAAACGAATCCTCCATGTTTGTTTAGAGTACATAAAAATGATCAAGTTTATTCACTTTGTAGAGTTCTCTTAATTTTCGTTATGTGTATGTTGTTGACGTGTATGTGCAAGACATGCTATACTTGGAGAAATAACAGTGATAGTGATTTCTTTACTTAAGTGTATCATGGTGAAAATGATATCTTAAATTGATTATGTGCTCAAATCAAATTAACCTCTGTTATCATTGTTATATGACTATAATAAGCTTGATATTGTATGTAACCTCTTTTGTATTTCTGCGATGCTTCATCTGCAGTAACTGCAAACTTGAATGGATCAGAAAAGAAACGCAGGATTGAACGTAGTTTAGCTCACAAGTTTCTAGTCTAAATAATTCTTATGTTTGATTACTAACCTTTTAGCATATAACATTTTCGCTCCTAGTATCTAGTCCTAGTAATATTTTAAGATTTTTTAAATTTATGACAAAGGCGCAAAACTGTTACAAGAGAGCACCAAATAGAGTACCACACCTCACACTTAATATATAACATGCACAGTAAGTCAGTAATAACTAAAATTCTATTATTTAGCTCTGTTCAGTTTTGTAGGAAGTCAAAGATTGAAAATGACTGAAAATTTGTCATTAATTGCGAAGACTAGACTTCGAATTAGAAATATGGAAGAGATGCAGTGAGCAACTACGAAATAAGTTAGTCGATTTAAAAGAAATACAGACCTTCTGTAATGTTACTTGCAATTAACCTTGATCTTGTGCTCAATCTTTCAACGTTAGCTTTGTACGAAGTAGAACTGTGTATGCTAACTCCTTCGATCTCTGCTTTCTAATCTATACTAACAGGTCCTTCTGTTCTTGCATCGAGACACTTTTTGTTCGAATGTCTTGTCAGAATGATTTTCTCCTTCAGTATTGTTCTCTGTACACTCCTAAATCTAGTGCTTTTTCTTCAGCACCATTACCACCAGCATTTCGATGCATAAGATTTTTCAACTGTACCCTTGCTTTTTTCTTACATTCTATTCACTTTTTAAACCTTTCACCTCATACTGTATTTGTTTTTATCAGAATTTTAATTCTAAGAAAATTTTAATATTAGCTTTCTATGCGATGTAGTTCCAAAGCAGCTTTGCTTTTCCAAGGTTTTGGTACGATGCACTCCGTGTACTGGCATATGTTGATTAGTGATTAATAGTGATATATGCATGTTCAAATTTAAATTTTCAGAGCTAAAAAAATTGACACAAAATGCCTCTTTCTCCTGCACACCATTGGAATCTGGGCATCGGCCCGATATCATGTCATGCATGGAATCGGGATCGAACCAGTTTGTTTTGTCTTGATTCATACATTCGTCGTACTATAATATGCTTAAGCGTAGATAAATTTGGTTGACGAATTTGAGAATTTTGTGAATCTGCCATAATTTGATTTGTTTTCCGTGCTCTATTCATCGTTAGAAATTTTATCATTTCATCAAGATTTTTTAAGTTGTAACTAACATAACTGTTCTTTCAGTAGATTAGTATAATTTCAAAACTTTTTGTACCTTTCAAGAACTTCATCACTTAAATCCATTATTATTAAATTAAAATCTTTATTGAAATGAAATTTTAAAATTTTTGACATTTTGATAAGTACTTTTTCTTTTGAGTGCTTGCTGTTTCACCTTCAAATAACGAAATTCACATATTCCAATGGAATGAAGGATGGAAGCCGGTAGAAGTTCTAGCTGAACATGATTTACCCATAACTGGCTTAGATTGGGCACCAAAAACTAATAGAATAGTATCATGTGCACAAGTAATTTTTCAGCAGTATTTTGCTTCAATTGAGTATTGACGAAAAGATATATTGAGAGCTGCAATTTATTATAGTTTGCTAAAATTTTAATGTCTTGTTCATAGAGTTTGTAATGTCTTCAGAAATATCTTTGTTATGGTCATCTTGTTTATAAACTAAATGTTTAGGATAAAAATGCTTTTGTGTGGACCTTTGACGGAGAACGCTGGAAACCAGAACTTGTTGTTTTGCGTATGCAACGAGCAGCAACTTGCGTAAGGTGGTCTCCTTATGGTTTGTTTTATTTTATCAGTTTTTTCTGCTCTATTTTTGTTTGGAATGTAAACTGATTAGACTTGTTATATGAAGTTAGAAAATTACCTTTATGGTTTTACTTTTTATTAAAAGTTTAAGGTTGTACTTTGATTGATTATTTTTTAAGGATTTAGTTTTCAATTTCTGTTTCACTTGTGAAAATCATTAGGATCTAAGATCCCGGCGCCTTATTAGAAAGGAATCACTTTCCATATTAAAAAATGACTTGCATTTTTTCTTATTTATTAAAAAAATTGAACTCTTCTATTTTTTCTACCAATTTGAGAATTTTTAAATAAGTTTTTTTTCAATAAATGGGCATCTTTTTTTCCAACAATTTTTGTTATTTTAAAGGACTAAATCAGAACCTAACGTTTTGCATCACAAATAATATTCTTTGAAATCATTAGGAAGCATAACCATTTGTTGTTCGAGTTTTAATTTATCATTATTTTGTAAACTTAGTCATTAAAAATCCATTTATAGAAAATAAATTTGCCGTTGGTAGTGGAGCTAAACTAGTATCGGTTTGTTACTATGAGAAAGAGAATGATTGGTGGATTTGTGAACACATCAAAAAACCAATTCGATCGACCGTTACTTGCATTGATTGGCATCCAAATAATGTGTTGCTCGGAGTTGGTGCATGTGACTTCAAGGTATATAAGTTAAATTGTGTTTATTTTTTATCAATTCTTTTTTGTTTTCGTTGTAGGTGCTATATTGACATTCATGAGGCTATGAGACAATTGAATGTGAACTAAATTTTTGCTAGATTTAAACTGAAGGCATTATTTATTAAGGGTTATATAAGTTCTTCCACAATGTTTCGTCGTTCTATTCAGTTTATACATGTTTTTTCATTTTTTAGTTTATTTTTTTTCTGAATGACAAAATATTTTCAGGCCCGTGTGTTTTCAGCCTATGTAAAGGAAGTAGATGAGAAACCGTCACCAAATCCATGGGGCACTAAAATGCCTTTTGGTGCTTTGATGTGTGAAGTAAAATGTTGCTTTGAGATATTTAGAAAATTTTTCAGTTCCTGTATATAAATTAAAAGGACTGTAATTTTTGGCCCGGATGTTATGTATTAATTGATTTTAAATACCACTAATTAAACATAGATAATTGTTATAACTTTTGACTTTACTAAGAATTACAGGTGAAAAGCTCTGGATGGATTCACCGTGTTTCCTTTTCACCATCCGGTTGTAGAATGTCTTACGTTGCTCATGATTCAACCATTGCAGTCATTGATACGAATCGTTCATTAGAAGAAGCAGTAATTATGCGTACAATTCATCTACCTTTCACTTCCCTTCAATGGGTCACAGAAAACACTCTTATCGCTGCTGTAAGTTTGTCATAAATGCATTAAAACTATAAAAACTAAATTTAAAAACTTAAATAGATTTTTTACAACTTAAAATTTTCACTACAGTAATTTCCAGGGCCATGATTGTTCTCCTATGCTTTTTATATACCTAGACGACCAGCTTAAATTTGTAACAAAACTTGACATTCCTTCGGAACCGAAATCAACCTATGTAAACAGTGCAATGCAGAAATTCCGCAATATTGATCGAAATGCAGCTGTCGAAGCTGTCGATGTGCGCTTGAAAACGATGCATCAAAATGCCATAACGTTAACATTTTGTTTTCATTGTTAATATGGTAATTTATTGATGCATGGAGTAATGAAAAATAAGTAACAAGTAGACTGGTAGATATTTGAATAATAACAATCCTTGCAACAAATCATTTACTGCAGCTAGACTAATTTCTTGTTATAAATAATCATATATGTTTAATTTTTAAGAAATGTTCTGCTTTCTAGGCAAATTTTACCACATAGTGGTCGCAACGATAACATACAGAAATTCAGTACCTGTGCAATTGATGGTTTAGTCGTACTATGGGACTTGAGGGTTAGTCTTTGTTGTATAAGTCTATTATATGTATTTTCAGCAAGTTTCATAGTTTAAAGGTTACGATTACAAAAGTTGAAAAATATCATACTGAAAAAAAATGGATTGAGTTTCAGGCGGCGATTGAATACTGTCAGGTAAGACTTCAAAGGGTTTTTTAACTGTTAGTAAAAGCAGTGACTTTGTGACTTTCATTAACTGGTGAGTTTATCAAGCTTTAACTTTCACTGAATTGGTTTGTGATTGGTTTTTCACTCCATTAATGAACGGAAGATACTTAAGTGTCCATGACTATTATTTCCATATTCATCAATCCAAAGTAGAGAAAAATGCGAAAGTAATTCATCTTCATGCGGTAGATTCAAAAATCGAAGGGCCATAATTATATAACAAATCAGGCATTACAAATTTAAGTGCAGGAATAAAGAAAATGTATATCTTTTTTTGCATGTCTTGCCGTGTGAACAACATACAAAACATGTGTTAATATTAAATGGAAAATCGTGAAGCGTAACTTCAATTGATTCTTCGCAAAATTTTATGGGAGCTCAACAGTTACGTCAAAGACAGAAATAACGCGAAATTTTAGTTGGAATTTATTCCCCTAAAATTATCTATTAAAACTGAATGCTTTATACAAAAAAAAATTAACACGTAGCGAAAGTTTGCCGTGCTCACTCCAAATTTATGGTTGTGTTTCTAAATTTTCTTTGATTTTAGGGTGCCCAGATTGATGTTTGATTTCTTCAGTATAATTGGAGCTCAGAACTCAATCCATGAACTCACGTCTCACTTGTAATAATGATGCAGAATGTCATTTTGTAACTAAGTGATGCATTCTATCTACACTCAAAGATAAAAATAGCTATTCCTCTATATTGTTTAAAGGTACAAGTAGCTTCGGTTGAAGAATACTTGTTAATAACGGAATTCCATAAAATGTTTCTTTGTATTCGCTTCATTAAGTTAGTAATAAGGAATGTAGGCAGATGGAATCACTATTTGAAATCATATTCTTTGGAGAAATTCTCAATTCTTGGTGCTGTCCTAAGCATTTTATTGCGGGGTCACTGAAATATTTGAAGAATTTTATTTGGATTACAACAATTCTCAAGAAATACATGTTTCTTGAAATATGATACTAGGCTACGCTGTCATAGAAAATACTCTAGGTCAGACCCAACGGCGCGTTTAGACAAATATTACAAACAAAAAGTCATAAGGTTTACATCAAGTAAACGTATATATTGTGTCATATATGTTTGCAATATAACGGTCAATAAAACAAGGTAAAAAATAAGTGAAGTGATAGCGAAGTAGGAATATGTAAGATGCTGGGAGTTTAATCCAAGAAAAGTGAGCAGAGCACACACAATGCATATAGCAATACATTACCTACTTTTTCTCAGATTAAACTTAAGTGGAAACAGTTTAGTAGTTAATAATTCTTGTAAGCAAGAAATATAGTCAGCGAAGCATTTAGAATATAACAGAAAACAAGACTAAAGCATAAATTTTTATTCATTACTAACCATTACACTGGCTAACTAATTCTATAAAATCTTCGTGCATTTTGACAAGCCTTCTGACAATAAGTTGTTCAATCTCTATACCTTGAGCTTTCTGCTCTTCATTCAAAAATATTGTTTCTTCTTTTCCGCTTCCACCATTAATAACGAATATCACACGCTCTTTCCTCATATGCAACATGTTTCCAATTACTAGCTGTAATATTACTAACAGTTTTCAATTACTAATTGTAGTAAGTATAAAACTTGAAATCTCAAGCGTTTAGCTTACAGTTATTAATTCCAAGCAAATAACATTTCAAGTGACCTGATGTCCGTAATTTTCAAGTGCCTGACGAGCTTTACTCACTAGCTGTGTCTCATCTGTTTCCAGCTGTAAACTTCACAATGAGAATTACAAAGACTTGTTCTACTCTCTCTATGTTTAAAATAAATAGCTAGAGGGACAAAAAATCGTTCATATGTATTATGAGACATCAATCAGTGCACTGATTTTTTTTGCTAATCAGTGCTATACACTGATTGAGGTTTCATAATACTATGCAATTATTATTATCCAGCATATTTTTATACTAGCCAAAAAATCATAGGTAATTCTGTCATATATCAATCATAATTGTTAAATGAGAACCGATGGATATTCAGTGTCATAAACGTAATATTACAACGTAAAACAGATACCTTGAATGAAACAACAAATGCTTTCGGTACGATATCTTTAACGAGTTTCTGTAAAATCTTAGGAACAATACTGAGCGACAATTGCAGATCTTGATTTGACTGAATTTTATGTCTGGGCTGGAAACGATATATATACAAGAAATCGCAATTCAAAAATACAAATCCTTCTTGATTAACGGAGTAAGATTTTACATTATTTATCCTTTGAATTTGATTAAAATTATGGGAATTGACATACCAAGTTATCCTCCGGAATATAAAAGTCCGAAACAGCAGCAGCAAGATAAATAAGAACCGAAGAACCTAAAGGCTCAAGATGACGACAAATAATTTCAAGAGTTTTCAAGTACACAGAGACGTCAATGAATGGAATCAATAAAAGTCGATTAAGACATTCATTATGCAGTGTTACAGCTTCTACAAGACCGGGCATATCGTGAACTGCAATTGTGTATAAGACATGCAACTTCTCAAAATGAGAAATAAAATTGCGAAAACAAAAAACAGATGCTACAGCATTTTTAAGAGCTAACGTCTAACAAAAAGTGCTAAAAGAGTGAACTTAAATAAACGGATGGTAAAGACATCAGTAACATAGGAGATTGTTCCATTGACGTTTACTAGCATTTATAGAAAAACGCCAAAATAATATCAATACTGGCAAACCTTCAACTTTGCCTGAACTATTGATGACCAAATGGTCGAACAAATCATTGAATTTTCGTTTAAAAGGCTTCATGGAATTATCTCGATGAAAAAATATAACAGCATAGCCTTCGACCAAAAAATGTCTGGAGAAAGTGGTGATTCATTAACAGTTTTAAGAATTTATTCGACAGTAATGAAAACTACAAAATGAGTAACATACAAATTAAGATATGCTTAGAGATGAAAAGTAAACTTTATATAAATGACCACATCTTGTGAAAAATGATCAGTTAAATACTTACTCTGCGCTAGCAGAACCTCTTGTACCCATCGAAAAATTGTCAATAAATCGAACCATATTCTTTTCTAATGGTACACTTGTGCCTCCGCTCTATAATGTTATGATACAACCATTTACTTCATGCTCAAGAATAAATGTCTAATATGATCTAAGTCAAAATTATACGACCCAATGACTTACTTATTTTAAAATTCCGCATTCTCGGAATATTAGGATAAAATCGTTGGAAGTGATCTTACATATAAATCAAAATGCTAACCGTCACTAGAACCACCTTACGTGAACAATTTCGTTTGATAAAATCATCAACGAGATCACCGACCAACTCCATCACCTACACGTGTATTAGCTCAGAAATGACGCAAACGAACTCATAATCCATGCATCTCTGCAATAATATGGCACTCTTCACGAGACTACTTGCAGATCTCTTGCGTAAATAACAGCAGTGCTTTGGAACCATCACAATCTGTGACTTCTTAGAAGCCATTTCCATAAATTTACAGTCTTCAATAACTGAATCTTACACTATTTAAAGAATTCCATTAGAAATTTTCGTAATACTTTATTACAGCTGAATGAAGAAAAATGAATATCATGCTACCATGAAAAAATTTATGTACTGAATGAATAAACAATGTCAATTTTATCATAACGATACTAAATCTGGTGAATATTTAAATCTTTATATGAATCAAAAAATGGATCATAGATATATGCTAAACAAAATGTTTTCAATACATATCTTCTAATGTAATCGTCAAAATACATTTTGCACAAAAAACTATTTTGCTGTACATCACTATTACTGATCAACCACATTATTCACGGCTCCGTTTTCAGGAATCTGAACTTTTCAAACCATTTGATATATTTAAAGTAACTGAAATTATCTCATACTGTTCAAATTGGTTTTTATAAAAACAAAAATCCCTGGCTTGAAATACAATAGCCAGTCAATGCAGTCTAAAAACACAGGGACTTTTTTCCTCATCTTGCAGATTTATAAAAGAAAAATATCGTTAACTGACAGTGGATGAAATACATGAAATGCTATCAGTAGAGCTAGAAGCAGCACTAATGGGTTGCTGCTGTTCACAGATTGTTATTTTTGGTGACTGGATATCTTCGTTTACTTTACTTTGGGGAGAAGGAGATGAATCTCCAACAGTCAAACGGTACAAGATTGGCGTTTCTTCTGCTAACTGCTCACGCTCCACTACTGAAAAAAGTAATGCATAAGTTTTTAGTAAGCACTGCTTAATGATAACTATTTGGACAAGTGTTTGGGCTGATAATTTGGAACATCTGAAATAAACAATAAGCGTGATAAATCAATTTTCTCATCAAGTTACAGTCCAATCCAGAACATCAGTATTAAAAAGCTATAAATATGGGAAATCTCCATATATATCAAACAACATTGTTTAATAAGTGTAACATTTATGAAAAAATAAACAGAATATGCAGAACAAAGTCTTTCCAGAAGAATTCCAAGTTTTGAGATAAAACTTACTTTGCTTCGCACGCAAAGCCTCTTGTTTCACTTTGTATTCCTCATAAGCTTTTGCTAATTTCTCTAACCATTCTTGTACCATGGAAGCATATTTCGCTTCATCAAGCTGTAGATTTCATTATGTGTATATAAGGCTTTTCAAATCAGTGCTATCATTTTTCATGAAACAGTTTAAAAGGGTGAGGGAATTGAACACATTAATTTATAAAAATTGAATACGTACTTAACTGCTTTGATAGAGAAAACACGGATAATGCATACGAATACGAACAAAATTTGATAGAGAAAACACAATGAATATCAGTTACCTGTGGCTTTTCTTCACAGACTTTTTTCAATTTTGCAGTGAATTCCTCCGCAGCGATTTCCATTGAGCGCTTTTTAGCATGAAAAACCTCATTTAATTTCTTCAGTTCCTCTTCCAACTTGCTCTAAAATATATTTAGAGTTCGAAATTTCAAAAACGAATTCTGCAGCTGAATAAACTGATAAAACGGATAATGCATACGAATACGAACAAAATTATTATAAAAGTAATGTAAACTTTGAAAAACAAATAAAACTGAACATCAGAAATTGAAGTGAACTATTTGCTGGAATCTCAGCAACTAGCAGCAACAAACATGAACAATGCACTGAATCATTAACACGTAGAAGCAAAAGAAATGGTAAAACATACTTGATGGGAAGCTAATGAAGTTGATTGTTTCCTCAGCATTTCGATTCGATTTTGAGCAAGGACTGTTCTAGTATCTGTAACTACACTGCCACTAAAAAGATCCGCTATGAGTCGATGATTGCGATCAAATCTAAAGAAATTTGCTAAGAATATAAAACAGGCTTTATATGAACCATTAACTGATTTTGAAAATAATTTAGAAAAAAACTTTACCTAACAGCTGCAATTCGTCGAGACGATAGATCCCCAAGTTCTTCATCTTCTACTGGTTGAATGACTACACCACCTGTATCTAAACGGCCACGACTTGCTACAAAACAATAAAACTCAATGCAATTAAACACTGCAATTGCACTTGCCTATTGAAAATAGGAGGTAAACTAAATATGATAATTCATTTGAAATTGCAGAAATGCCAAGATCTATTTCTCAAAAAAATTTTTACAAATATTTTGTTTTGGAATACGAATACCACTTTAAACATATATCTAGTAATAGAAATTTTAATCCAAAAAATAATAACATTTAATTAAAATGACTCAATATCAAATGTTCCAACACTATTTTAGGCATCTATGTTGAGATTAAAAACAAAAAATTATTGGCATTCAATACAAATAAAGATTGAAAAATCGGCTTCACAGTCAAAAAATAACTTCTATTCCAAAAATTTAAATTTAACCAGCAATGACACCCCCAACGGTGTTCGATTTATCGCTAACTTTTGCTCGATTTTTTGCTGACAAGTACTGTTGATAAGCAGATGAGTTGTGATAAGCTTTCAAAGCTTTTTCATATTCCTGACGTTCGATGTCATATTCCTTAAGAAATTTCATTTTAAATTCATCTTAACAATGTACTGAATCATTGTAGTCAGAAAAAAAGGATTCCAAAACAGAAACCTGCTGATAAATAGCTTTTTCTGATTCTGGTGCATCCCGCCACATTTGTCCAATCACTTTTCCAATATCCCACAATTGACTATCCGGATTTTCCGCTCGTACCTGGGAAACATTGAAACGATTTTAATTTACTGCAAAACAATAAACCTCAAAATCCACTTGAATTTTATCAATGTTTATTCATTTTTTGGATGTACACCTTTTCCTTAGCAGAGTAAAAAGTATTTGTTTTCTTTGCATCAAAAAGTTAGAACTTTTCAACATAAGAATAATATAATACGAAATTGTTTTAAAAAATGTATACTTTAGCCCACATTTTCCTGCTGAATCTCATATATGGGACTAATGGACGATCTGGCGGTTTGGGTGGTTTTAATGAGCCATTATCAGCCTGCAAGTAATTGACATAGTAATGAAGTGGTATAAAATATTATGAGCAGGCATAATCCTATAATGGTCTTTTAAATGTACTGCGACTATTAGGCAAATAATTTATACCATACAGAGAAATTTTTTTTAATAAAAAAACTGACAAACACAGCTTGACCACATAAAGTTTTTGAAGTAGAAAAATGAAAAAGAAATACATAATATACCTGACTTGAAGGTCGCGGTGGTGGATGCCGAAACATATCTGATTCTTCTACGAATAGAAAAGCTTGAAACTAAAATAATCTCAAGCAATTCTATCTTCCACATTCAAACTGTGGTTCATTAGTTGAACTATACCGAAAAACAAACTGAAGAAATCTTTTGCGGTCGCTTCGCAAATGTATATGTCGCAATGAAAATTTGTCTTTAAACTATTTAAAAGTTATTACTGAGATAACAAAATTTTTTGTATTTTTTAAATAGAGTGAGGCGGTTGTGTAAAACACATCTTTCTTCTGCACAATATAAACAGATGAGTGAGGCATAGATTATTTGAGGTAAGACAATAGAAGTCAGCTCATTTATAGGTCATTAGGTGAGTTAATCGCCTTTTTGACTCATTAATTCAAGATTCAGTTTTACTTTTTATCTTCTAACAATACAAAACGAAGAAATTCAATTCATTTCATTCTCTAACACCCAAAAATCTTATTTGTAATGATTTGTAAATAAGAAAAACAAACTCAGAAAAAGAAATAATTTTTTCAACAAAAAAAAAATCACTCTGATAGATTTTATCTTATTTGAGACTATTTTGTGGAAGAAAATGTCGAGAGAAACGTTGACTAATAACATTAAAAAAAGAAGGCATAAGGAAAAAATGCGCAATTCAGGCAATTATTTTCAAAAGCAAAGCAATAAAATAAGTCTGACCAAAAAGCAAAAAAATTTAAAACTTTCAAAAATAAAATTTAGTTTACTTTTGAAGTAATATAATAAGAATACAAAGTTATCTCATGTCAAAATTTGCACCATTACAAATATCACTGCCTGATAACTTCAACAATCATTTTGGACTCTGATGATCGGTCAAAATTTAATAACGTAGATTAAATTGAGCGAAAATAAGTTGTTATCAGATACAGTAGAAGCTACGCAAGAAACAGTATCGTCTCCTGATAGAACAACGCGATCATCTATTCGATCATTGAAAATAAGAGATTTGGAGGTAATAATATTTTATTCAACACTGATTTACTAACTATCTTTTTATTATTTTGCTCAGCTATTCTGATAACAAAATGATAAAAATTCAGCAATGATTCTAAATCTATTTTCATGTTAAATATACATACAGTTTTTATCATTTTTGTAAGGTATTTATCAATAAAATCAATTCAAGAAGATAAAATTTTGCTTTATGATTAAATTAATAAACAATATCATGAGATCATTATTTCTCAAGTATAATTAAAGAAACGTGAAAAAGAAGAACGTGAAATTCGACTTCGCGCACGACGAGAAGCCATGTAAGGCATCAAGTTTGCTTAACCTTTTCAAAGTTTTACTTTTATTGAAAATTTTTCCACTTCTAGACTAGAAGAATCTCTTACCAATGAATTTGCCCCAACGATCTTTGAACAAGTTAATGCAATTTTGAGACCAGTTACCAATTTTGAATGTTTTCGAAAAGTAATATTTATCCATTAATATGACAAGGTTCAAAAATTCAATTAATATTATAGTAACTATAATCCAGAATTTCCATCTATACTATCATTGATTTATCAAGTCTCAAAGATAAAGTTTGATAAGGCATAACATAATGATGTAAAATTATTAACTTTATTTTAAATTAAAATTTACACGATTGTTGATTGTGTGTAATCATGAATATTAGCCAAAGTTGAATTAAACTTATCAGTAATAATTTTGACAGAAAAAGAGTGCTACTGAACATAATGCATCATTGGCTTCTTCATCATCATCTTCGTTTAATCTGTTATCATCACCAAATCGGTCAGTGTTTTTTAATATTTCAAATGCATTTACATAAATTCTCACCAATAATTGATTGATTGAAAAAATATCTTTTATATTTAAACAATCACTTTTTTGATTATTGAAATTAAGCATTAGTTTTGCTTGAAAATTTTATCTTCGCTTTCGTTACAATTTTCCATCACGCAAACAAATCTAACTAATTCGTTATCGAAAAATTGTTGTAAGAATTTTTTTTGTCATTTTTAGTCTAGAATTTTCAGAAGCATGCATACATGTCGAACTGTAAGTTCATTATCGATGCTTTAAATTCAATTTAAATAACTCTAATGTTCTCATGTAAATAGTCAATTATTAATTCTACAATATATTTGTAAAATTGTGGTTGGAATAAAATAAATGTAAATATGTATAATATTAATTTTTAAACATTTTAAATGTCACATGAATCGAATTGTGCATCGGAAGGAGTTAATAATGAGATGAATGATAAAACTGTGTTTGCTACTTCATCTTTGCTTGAACAACAACAGGTACGGTAAGAGATACGATAAATACTGCACAATATGGGAGTAATGTAATACTTTTCTAGGCCCTATAAACTTTACTTTTCTTTTTATCTCATAACTTTTACTTATTCTTCTTTTAAAATTTATAACTAACTTTTCTGGAAACTTTTGTACTTGCATATTATCACATTTCCATCTATTACCTTCATTTCGAATTAGACTTTATTTCTATTTAGTCTTACTTTTTCAATTTTCACTTGCTGAAAGTAACTACACGTCTTAATGTTTTTTTTTTGCAGCGACGCAAGCATCTCCCCAAGTTCATTAAGAAAGTAAGAAAATGCAACGATTACAAGAGCTTCCTTGCATTGTTTAATGGATTACTTCTAGATAATCAAAAATTTGTGTTGCAGTGATGTAGAGATCGTCTTCTTAGCTTATAAAATTTCAATAAGCGTTTGAATTCCAAAGAATCTTATTTGCTTAGAATTTTTTTTCCAGTTTCTCAGTTCAAAACATCGGATATTGCATGCAACAAATGGCTCGAAGGTGTGCTGTTTTTCTTAACTGTTTGCAAGTATTCAAAAGACTGATGATTAATTTTGAAAAAAAAAATTTACAGGAATCAGAAATGGCACAATTTACACAACCAGAGAGATGTCATGATGATTTAGAAACAGGCAGGAGCATATATTGCAACGTAAGCATTTTATGATATTTATTAGTTTCAAATTATAATGGTAGATATTGAAGGTAGTCAAAAATAATTCTTCAGTTTACGAATTAAAAATATCATGATCGTATAAAAAAGCTACGAAATTTTCGAGAGGTTACACCAAAGGAATGAATAAGTAACGAATAAAATTTTAGTAAATTATTTCTTACCATTAAGAATGATTTTTTTTAGCCAAATTTAAGGGTAGACCCAAATATTATTTATGCTATTGATATGGATTACTTTGGATCAAGAACTTCTACTCTCTTTACTTCTTCACCAGGAGTAATAGACGTCCCAGTAGTACGAAATGATTATACGCTACCTGTGCAAAATAGAAATATGTCAACACAGGACATACAATCACACTCATCTCCTTCGCCAAATAGAGTAAGTAATCGCACAGAATTTCACAAAACTGCATTCTCAGCTTCAAATCCGAATATCAGAATTCACAAGTTCCTTTTCCAAGCAATAAATTTTTTTGCTTTCGTTGAAATTGGATGATTTTATTGTATAGCACTGAATACCAAAAATGAGATGCACATTAAATATTGGACTGTTTACAATTATTACCAATCACAACTTAACATTTACTTGATATTCTACTGAAACATAATTTTACAATGTCTAGAAGCTTTTTATTCCCAAAACCATGATATGTCATAATGTAATATTAATAATTAAAGCGTAGAATAACGAGACGGAGAAAAATAATGAAGAAGTTAAAACATGGCGTAGACAAATTTGGTGGTGCTGTATCTTCTGTAAGAGTAAGTACTCCTTTCAAATATATTGAAATATGCGATTATAACTGTCCTTCTTGTCATTATTCATACAATACTTTATCTTAAAGATTTACGAATTTTGTGGAAATATGTGAAATGCTTGACCTTCAGCACCTTCAACGGAAAACGCAAGAACATAATTTGAGTAATGGAAGAAATACAATATCGCAACAAAAAAATACCTATGAAAATACAAGAGTAGAAGTTGCTACATCAAAAGACAGATCATCAAAAGGTGCATCCCACAAAGGTAGTTTATCGACAAAAAAATCCTCAAAAAATGTTTCACTAAAAAGTACAGCATCAAAAGATGCCAAACATATGCAAGTGAGATGTATTATATATGATACAGAAAGTTAGCAACTGAACAATTTCATATCTAAAAAATTAAGACTGCTGAAAGGAACTACCAACAATTCTCTACACTTAAATCGTCAATTCTACACTTCTGCTCCTCTTAAGGTTAGTTTCATTTACAAAACCCTAACAAAATTTTTCAAATTCTAAATTTTCAATTCTAATCAGATGTCAAATTTTTGTTTACGAACAAAAAAAGTATAAAATTATAAATAAAAGTTTTGAAATAACTGTATGGTAGGTAGTATAAAAACCTACAACTTCATTATCTTCAAAAAGAAAAAAGATGAATGGATAAAAAATATACATGAATAAAGATCAAGTGAAACGATCGCAGAGATCAGGTCTATGAGCTTACATCATTAAATAGCATGTTCTATATAAGCTAGATGTGTTGCTGCGCTAGCAATAACAGTTGTGAGTGGATGCAAGCTTGCCAAATGAAACCAAGATTCAGGACTGGTACGAATGAATAAAAAATGATTCCGAATTTAATCTACAACAATTTCCTACGCTTACGGCTGTTCATATTTCCTATGTATTGCAGCATCCAGTCAAATTTCCAATCCTCCTGTAATGAGCAGAAATGGATTTCCAATAAAGAAACTTTTTAAGCATATACTTAATTAAGACCATACAACTAAGAAACTGAAACAAGATACCTCAGAAATCTATCGTGTTCACTAATAAATTGGTTGAAATACATTTATTAATTCTTTATTAGTGCAAGTGATCATGTAAATTACTTCCAACTATAACGTAACTTCCTCAGATATATCACTTTATAAACAATTTAATAGTGCAAAAAAAAAGCATTGTAGAATCACCTTATAGGCATTAACCTTGAACAGGTTTCGAAACAATCTACGAAGAAATATGTAATCTGGTATTTCTGCAAATTTCATACTTCGGCAGTAGCTCATTGCCATCACAAATTCTGCGGGAAGTCCACGACAAAGAACCTTTAGTAATGAGTGAAAGCATAATTTTAATCACTATTTCACTCTTGGAACTTTTAGAAAGTCCAATAATGATTAGTATTATTCTGAGATTCTGCCTCATACATTACTTATACAATCACCATACACAGTTAATGTTAAGGGAAATAGTAATGAAAATCCATTTACCTACCGAAAAATCTAATACTTTTGTAAAATTTTAAATGTTTTTTGGGACCGCAAAAAATTTTGTAAAATTTACTCAAAATTTCATTTTGATGTCTTTGGGACTGTTTAATGTTGAGACATTACCTCTAACGAAATCGAGAGCTTCATTTCAAGAACATCCTTATATCTTCCAGAATCTTCATGGATTTGCCAAGGTAATTTTCCTCTGAAACCGATTTCACAAATGAATCAAAATTAATATGTTAAAAATTTAGCAATAAGTAATTACCTCAGGAAGTACAGCATAATGTACATGAATGATTCTAAATCATCACGTCTAGATGCGACTGTACCCAAGTGCCTATTTATCGATGCAAAAGTATGTGAGCCGTAGAATTCCTGCAATTATTTCAAATGCTGATAATTACTACAGTTTAGATATTTCTTAAATTTTAGTGACAGTGTCAAGTTTTCTGTAAAGTCATCCGTTGTCTATCATAATTCGTCTTTGATTTACCATCTGTTCCATATATGGAATATGTTTACGACTTTGACCACGAATTTTCAGAAATTTTGATGCATACTTCATATTTATTAAGTACACCTTACAGCAATTTTCGTTGACACCCATCACAAACGAGTCTGGCTGAAAAATGTTTCCAACTTAGCATAGGAAACTCTATATATTTTGACTGATTTTTAAGATATGAAATTACAAAACTCATCACTATAAAAATATCATAGTAAAGTTTAAAAAGATGTTTATACTTTTACACTTTTAGTAAAGTTGTTAGGAAGCTATCGGGGTTAGTAAGACTAACAGTAAGATTTCCATGAACGTAACCCGCATCATGAATAGTTTGCAATCGGTCCAACATTTGGTCGGCGAGAAGTAAAATAGTTTTTAAACTAAATTTTCTCCCACAATATATAAAAAGTTCTTCCAATGCAGGCCCCATAAGACTCATTACTAATGCCCTATATCCATCAACTGCTCCATACCTAAAAAGGGAAGTTGCTCTATGTTGTTTGTTTTGGACTATGACAATTATTTGGTGAATAATTCAAAATTATTAAAAGATAGTAACGAAGTGAGGTAATCATGATTACAATAATACTATTCAAAATAATATGCATAATAACTAGAGCTCACAATAGAAAACTTACGAACAAACTTAAGTTTCAAATGACTTTTATAATAAAATACTGGAGTTAAGATTTTTGATTTCACAGGATACACTTGTAGTAAAAATTATTCAGAAAATAAAAATATACCAGTAAACAGATGGGACTGCTCTACCACGAAGACTTTTATATACAGCGTATTCATGTTTCAAACTGCCACTTCTTTCCGTCTGAAAAGTTAGCGATTACGCAATATTTACGCTCATCCTCTATAAATGCATTATAACACGAAATAATGGTATCAAAGCCACAAAAGTATGAAAAAAGTGGTTTTAAGACCATAAACCATTTATGGCAGTTCGATTATGACAAAAATTTAAGTGTTTTCAAAATTACTGACAATGGAAGATGCAGATGCTCATTAACTTTTTTGTTATACATAATAATTACTGGATTAAATTGAAATTTTGTATCTTTTGATTGATGGCTCTTGTTTTGGAATTGTTCCGACTCTTTAAGGTTGATTTACCTTATCTGTAAGAGAAATACAACCTTGGGTGCAAAATCACGGAGTTGATTATTACTAAAGATATCAACAATCAACTTAAATGTTTATTGTAATACACTTAAATAGTATTTCATCTTCATTAATTTGTATTGTTTTTGCTAACGATGTAAACAAAGATTAGAAAACGAATTTTTTGTTCTGTGCCAAAACACTTGTTAAAATTAGAATCTCATTAGAACCCAGAGTAGTTTTAAAATCATGTATTTCTCCATCAATATTGATCGTAAATTGGTCGTGAACTTCAGATGATTTTAAACCCAGTATAATGAAATACAAAACTGAATAAAGTAAATTTAATGTAATGAGTTTAACATAATTCATGCGTAACAAAGTACCGACAATTACCAAGCAAAGCTTAATCAAAATACTTGCTTTCGTGAAAGATTCCATTATCTTTTATAATTCCGATATTATGCAACGATCTTATCAACATAACATTTGAATAAAATATTTGATAACTTTTCCCGATGCTTTAACGAATCCCATGCATCACTAGATAATTATTGCTTAACTTCACAACTGAAACTCTCAAATAAATACTGACTAGACTGACACAACTATCAGTCCGAAAATTTAGAATTCCAACTCACCTAATATTGCTGATATCAAAAAAACTAATTAACCATAACTTCGATAAGATTACTTATTCACTCACCTAGCTATATGTTGCCATAATAAGAGATAAGATATGAAAAAGTACATAGAAATAACCTTTTCCCCCGACACCTCCTTTGTCTGAATTTCCTCCACTTTAACAGCCATACACCGATTACTAGCAAGACGAATAGCAATCAAAATTCTTCTTGATCTCGCCACGTTCAAATAACAACGAACTTCATAATTGGAATGGAATGCATTTCTGCACAAATTCATCGCCTTTCTAAAATTTCCACATAGATGTAACCCTGACTTGGGAACTCAACTTCAAAATAGGGGCTAACATGGTTAATTCAGTATCTTAATAGTCTAGATTTCAGAATCAGAAGCAACACCTAGCAAACTCTCCATTTATGTGATAAACTATTTCCCCCCAACACAACTAATCACTAAAAATAAATTTGGTTAGCGACTCGCTAGAATCCTTCACTAAGATTATTTATATTTGATGCATGTATCACCAGCGCAAAAAGAATTATATTTCACAGTCCACAAATGCTATAATATGAAATAATCGACAAATTTATATCCATTCCAGTAAATCAAAATAACTATTCACGAAACGGTGAAACATTGATGAAACAGTTGTTTAACTGTGTTCAAATTCAAGACGTGCGACAAATAAAATTTTTCCTTGCTCGCAGTGAGCAGACACAAATTATTGCTATAAAAAATCTGAGGAATATATCAAGAACATATCAACCAGACTGCATTTTACACCATTTTCATTAATTAAAAAATAGATAAATAACTATAAAAGGTCCTTGCTATTTTTTAAAAGTTAAGGACTCGTCTGATTTCAAGTTAGCCTACTTGCAATAAAGAGTGCTGAAACTAAAAAACATGACAGACTACCGGATTAAAGCTTCATAAATAAGGAAGAATAAACGATCATTAATTTTTTAGCTGTTTATATTTCCCGTACTTGTTGAAACTTTATTTGAATTACTAATTTTTCCACACGCAAATCAATCATGGTGATTACTATTCAAAACTTATGGGATATTTTTTTCAGATGATAAATCTGATTTTAGCTCCCAACAGTTTTCTATATCATACGCCAGGTGCCGTTCCTGACTGCGCGCCACCCTGTCCTGAACCAACGAATGCGAGTGCTGCTGCGGCGTGCTGTACCGATTTCTGCTTTAACATGGTCCAATCGAATGTGTAATCATACTGTAATATCAAACTATTACATTCAACTAAAATCGTAATATACACATAAATATGACTGCAGTTTGAAAAACACAATTTCCAGCATGGATATTAAAGTACTGCGTGTAATAATTTTAGTAGGTATATACAATTTGAAAAATAAAGATAAAATTTATATACCTGGTGATTCAATGTCCTGAAAAGAATGCGAAATAATTGCCGCAAATACATATAATCTGGTGCTTCATCGAATCGCAGACCACGGCAATAGTTCAAGTACATGGCAAATTCCGCCGGATATCCTTTGCATAGCACCTGAAATTTTGAAATTGCAGTGCGAAACGCCATGAATTTAAATTGTTTTCAACTTGAATAAGCATAAGGAGGAGCAAAAACTCAGCAAAGAATATGACGAGCACCGCAATAAAGGATAAATTTCATAAGTTCTAAATTTCTTTTCTGTTCTAACCGTTTAAATCAAAAGATGGCATTTTCTGTTCCATGACTTATCAGCGCGCTAAATAAGTGATTTTAGAAAATCCAACAAGTCAGAATTTAGTTACCTCGACAGGTGTTGACATTTTTTTCTCGCTGATTTTTTCATATTTTTGCTTTTTTGTTGCTGCTTTTAGTCCTTGCCATGGAAGAGTTCCTCTATAAAAATGAAGCAGATTTCTGTAATGATTCAAGACTATATGTACTGCTAATAAAGACAAAGACTGACTTGTTGAAATACATAAGGACATATCCAAGAGATTCCATGTCATCACGTCGCGATTGCTCAATGCCCAAATGCGCATTTATTGATGCATATCGAGCTGTACCCGTCAGATTCTAAATTTCTTTTCTGTTCCAACCGTTTAATAACAAAATCAAAAGATGGCATTTAATACTTGTCAAACATGAGAAATAATATGTACATTTTTCTAAATTCATAATAAGATATATAACCTTATCTTCTCGATACGGTATGTGAGCTCGTGTACGTGAATCACGATATTTTTTGGCTAATCCAAAATCAATCAAAAATAATTTATTGCAGTGACGTCCTATACCCATCATAAAATTATCAGGCTGAAAGCAGGAACTATTCATTTCACTTTGTAATTCATCTACATTTCTCAACTCAAGCTTTACTAGGTTATATTTTCGGATGTAAGATTTACCTATTTCAATTTTGAACCCAAAATTCTCCATTTAATGAATGAAAAATAGAAAAACTGGATCCAAAATAATATTAACAATTTTGTACTTCTTGTATCGCCTGTAAACGCAAAAAAACGAAAAAAAAAGAGCAGCACATAAGTTAATACCATCAATTATAACTTACCTTGATATCTCTGTGAATGAAATTTTTGACATGAACGTATTCGATGCGACCAATCATTTGATCTGCAAGCATAAGGACCGTCTTCATCGTAAAACGGCGGCTGCAGAAATTGAATAGATCTTCTAATGAAGGGCCTAGTAAATCCATTACAAGTACATTGTATTCTCGCTCTGTGCCATACCTAAAGGCAATTGAAAAACTCATTCGAATCCCATGAGACAATTAAATGAAGCAGGTTTTAAATGACTTTGAAAAGAATTTCCCTTACTGCGATTTAACTATGTTCACCAAAATTTTTTGAAATTTGTCTGGGTTGCAAATGGGCAGATTTTTTATTCAATTTAAATGGATATAATTTCTATAAATTACAAGCAACCTGTCAATTCCAGACTAATAAAAAACTTATCCTGCAGGAAGACTTGAATAAAAATGCAACCTGCATATTTGCAACCCAGACAACTTACACACCTTACTTTTGATGACAAAGAGAGGTAATTTTTAAATCATTAGAATTTCCATAAATTACAATTTCCGTCCAAACGAAGAATCAAAGCATAAAATTTTATTATTCCAAAGCTGTGACAACCAAAGCAACTCTATAACACAGTCTAACATATTCACCAGTATTTATCTCACAACTATATTGAAAATAACTTTAATTAAGTAAACATTAAAAAAAACTTGCCATCGTATATGCGGTATGCCAACCCCACCTTGTAATATTTTGTATACCTTGCTTTCATACAACAACTGAGGATGGCGAGCCTAAATATCATTTTTTGTCTTCAACTGATTTTCTTAAAACAGTCTCGATAACAATTCATAATTAAAACACATGCTCCATAAACTCCAACCTTACCTTATTAGATTCCATTTTGACAGCAACTTCTTCACCATTTGTAATATTTATAGCTAGATATATATCACCAAAAGAACCAGAACCAATTTTCCGTATAAGTTTATATTTTGTTGCCACAATAAAATCGCGTGAATTGGTAGCAACGCCCGCCATATCGGGCCTCAATCTAAGAAAAAAATTAATATATACATTTTCTCTATCATTTGAGCATAACATTCACAAATTACTTTTCTAAACGCTAATTTTTAGATTAAAAAAAAACATATTTCTGAAATTATAGACATATTATTACATAAGTCCACATCATATATCTCATATTAGTCAATTAAGATGCTAAAAAACAGAAATTAAAACGTAAAAATGACATAGAATAGAATAAAATTCCTAGCAGTTATTATAAATCAGCAACCACGATGAGTTCAATATCGAATGCCGACTAAAAGTATATCACAGACCAGCTAAAAAAGTTAAAAAAGCGACGTAAAATAGTCAATCAATGAAATGAACTTTTTCATACTTCTATGCAATGAAATCTCATCAAAAGTAATATATCCAAGATTCTTGGAACCCACAAGAAAGACCACAATGATGCATAACGAACAAATAACCAATAAAGATTCATAATTCTTGTCAGTATTTCCTAACTGCCATTTCTCAATTTACGAAAGCAAGATATATCACTATGATTAATGATAAATTGAAAGCAAACAGTATTTATAAGTAATGAATGCTAAAAAACTGATTTAACAATACTTGACTTGAAAATGATTGTTAAATTCAAGTTTACAACCACACTATACCTGGCCAAACCGCTTGCGAACAATGTAAAACCTTATAATACAACTCCACCGCATCAATAATACTTGTCTGCAAGACGCAACGCGTACCGCTTTGCGGTGTAGCATGCAACGAGTTGAAGAAACATATTATTTCATGACATCAGAGGCTAAACATGTTGTTTGGTTAATTAACACATTCTTCAGATTAATTTTGGTACCGCATCACTTCCAGTAATCTTGTTCCTTTTACACCCTTAAATCTACATATGAATATTCTACTACAATAATTCGCTGCATATTACTGCTTAATCTCGGTTCCAAGTTCGAAGACCATATTTCTAGCTCTTTCTTACTAAATGTCAATTTATTCATCTTCTAAAATATTTGTCACCATACAACATGTTTAGCATAATTGATTGATTAATTAGCATTAATTACTGCACTCTTTACTAATTCATGTCTAGAATGGATTGACTAGCTTAAACCCATCAATGCAGATTCCCCTTCCACTGTAATTTATCTTAATTTTGACAGTATGAATGTCGCTGTAGCATATTTTTCCATTGATTGCCGATCTATATTGTTACTCAAATGACGCTAACACGATCAATGTACGTAAAGAGGTTCACAATCTATCTCACTATCTCACCGCATATATACGTCATCTTCATATCTCGATATCTACGGAAATAGACTAATTGTCAGCCTGCACACTTTACCAATGGTATTCTCGAAATTCCAAGAATTTTAGGCATAATACGGCGAGAAGTCTATCGTTAAGTGCTGTCGTACATATTTCAGTATTCTATGTTATATACTGAGGAAGGATCATCCAGACAGTAATTCTATGAAAAAGCTGTCAGATCCGTACGACTGAAATTTGCGAGAGCAACGTACTCAGATTCGATCAAAGTAACTTAGCACTATTACTGACAGTTTTTTCAAAATTAGAAAGATACAAAGTTATTTTTACGAATTCTCATTTTTTTTTCACCACTTTGCATAAGGTGATACAATCTTGAATAAATCAAAGGCACTGTCACGAATTAGGTTGACGTACTATACGTATCGAACATCACAAAAAAATTCTGAGTTATCAATAAGAGTGAGACTATAGAATGCTAGTAATGAAAAACATGACACAGCACGAAAGAAATAAGTTTTGGAAAGTGGTAGATTTGGATGACGGTAGAAATGTGCATGTATTTTCAACAGGGCACTGCTTTGTCAACAGTGTAAAGCATTTATAGATAACAAAAGCAATAATACCAACATAAGTCTTGAAAAGATGCTAGTCTATATTGTTAAACAATTCATATGCAGCACATGATTAATAATTATGTTTAATAATCTTTTCGCAGTAGTAATTCATCCCAATCCAGGCAATATAATACAATATACACAGTTTCAGGTTCTTCTGAAGACCTCGTTGGTAACAAAAGTGAATTATGACTTGATATATATGTGTGTACACTTAACCTACAGACTTGATCCACGCTGAGTCCATTCGTACAGTATATTATGTAATTTGCTCTTAGACCTGAATTGTAAAAAATATTAGCCTTTAAGAACTGTTTCGGTAAAGCAAAAACAGTAACATGCATTAAATTATATAATACTTTATATATATATATATATATATATATATATATATATATATATAT